TTAGGTTGTCTTGCGTACTATTAAACTGTCTCCAGAGCAGCAACGTAGCGTCAATCACACTTCATACAAATCAGCCTATTGTCTATGCCTATGTGCAAACCACTGATATGATAATATATCTATGGTGCAAACCAAATTCTAGTAGTCGTTGTAGTTCTGTAAGTTTGTGTAGAAAAGTTTCAAATTGTCATAATAAAGGTTTTTACAAGTTTATAGCCTACTATCTCTCATTTCGAGGTTCTTATCCTCATTAAACAAATTTGAGTAATTTATCTTGACTAATTTGCCATTGTTAACGATAATGGTTCCAGGTATAAAAAAATGAAGGCCGAAGTTATAGAGAATTTATTTAAGTCTCTAGAATATCTGAATATATACAAATAGCATACATGCATAGCATAATATTTAAAGGCTAAGAGCAATTGGAATACTTAGCAATACTAAGTATTCCAAGTGCTGATTTTGGCGCTACCTATCACATGCCGAAAAACAAAAAGCGTTTGCAAAGATATGTTAATCGTCTGCGATGTTATTTTTTTCCTTTTTTACTCAGGTAATCTAAATAATTATATAAACTCATTAAATGTAGCGCGCAAGCAACGATTATTTTGCCGTTCTCCATGTTCGTGTGTGAAGTGAATGACAAATTGATTCACTCTGCGAATATGTGAACAACAAATAAAAACATACAAGAAAATATCGATTAGGGGTACAAACTCTAACTATTTATTATTTTAAAAATGATTTAATGATATTTACCAATAAAATCTTTTTTTCTAACGTAAAATAACGAAAAAGTAACAAATTAAGGTGTGCACTGGCACAGAAAGCGTTTTAAATCATGTACCCAATGCAAAGCAACTTGTTCTTCATGTGGATAGGTTTGATTTTTGATGCTAATCGTTTAGATCATTTTCGGCCTCTCGGCCTGTAAAAACAAATTGTTCATTAGTGTCCTCTCAACCCCTAAACATGGTTTATATGGCCCCCAGGGGCCGAGTGTGAACTATGTTTAGGGGTCTATGTTTGCCCCCCCCCCCCCCTGGGTATGAGAGTGATTTTATACAAAAAACAGGCGTAACTCATTCACTTTCGACTCCTAATTCAACAAGTACCTAAAATTTAAATTTTGGTAAAACTAATGGCTTAGGTATCACGCAATTCGATCAAAAAGATCAATTTTTAATGGAATTGCGTGATACTTGTTAATAGTCAAAAGTTATTTGTTACAAAGTCATTAGCTGTACTCGCATGACAAATAACACTTTTTTGACCTTTACGCTCTGCTACTTTAGTGGAACAATGAAGAGTACCATCGGTCTATATTCTACTGACCGTGTGATTGACGTAAAGCCAAGACGTCCAAGAAGACGTCGTTGTTCCAATCGTTGATTGTGTCGATTTTCTTTAAGCAATTTATTCGTAGTAGGGCAACATCATGCCTTTCCATAAAGACTACGTTTATTTCTTTTTATTATAACCAATTCGTCGAAGTGTACGCCACAATAACATAGCACGTGGTCACGATGTACTCAGAGTTCCGCCTTAATAGTGGAATGCTATTGAAATGATACGGGTACAAATAAAAGGTATTTTTTTTAAATAATTTCTCAATATTACAATTTACTTTTAACATTTATTTCCTAATTTACGATAAAAACCATTGACATTATTGGAAGAGGCCTATGATAACATTACACCGGAAGACTGGCAAAAACTGATAAAAAAAGACAAAATAATACTCATCGCTCATGACTTTTTTTAAGGGGTAAAATCATGCTGCCTGGGCTTCTCCCGCCCAGGTGAGACGAGAGGAGTGTCAGACTCTTACTGACTAAAAACCACCCCGTTCCTACCCCTGCACTTCGAGCCGGTGCCCCAGCAACCCATTAAGTCCTCAGCGGCTCCGTAATCACTCATGACTGGGAGAGAGATCCTCGCTTTGACATTCTAATCGATTCAAGATTAATAATTAATCTGGGCGATGATTCTAGTGAAACGTACAATTATTCATTAGATGGAACGGCGGATGCATAATACAAATTTGCATGAATCATAACTTGTAACTTTTACACATGGGTACAGTTCACTCATTTTTGTGCTTAAATCATTTCACCTTTTTTTTCAACGTCCTTTATTACATATAACATACAATTAAATCCCGTGATAATACCATCTGGAACTTAAATCATTCAGTGTGGGAGATTCATGCTTCGGCATGAATGGACCGGCTCGACCGGAGTGATACCACGGCCTCACAGAAGACCGACGTGAAACAACGTTGTGTTGTGTTTCATCGTGTGAGTGAGGTTACCCCCCCCCTTTTCCCCAATCCCTGAATCCCCAACAATCCTCAAATTCCTAATCCCAAAAGGCCGGTAACGCACTTGTAACGCTTCTGGTGTTCCAGTCCAGTGTCCATAGGCGACGCAGATTCCTTACCATCAGGTGACCCGTCCGCTCGTTTACCGACTTATCCCATAAAAAGAAAAAAATCGGTAATTAATTTCTTTCGCGAGTTTAATTTTTGAGGAAAATTGGTGCACTATGTTTCTGCTTTAATACGATGCATTTATACGCAATGTCGTGACACTGACATAGAACCCTGGAAAAAGTAGCGGTCACAAATAGAACACACGAAGCGACGCCACGCGAGACGTGACGACTGCTCTTGACCTTAACCAAAGTTACCGTCCATAATTACTTTTCCCCATCCAATTAGTACTCCTTGTGCCTGGATGCGGGTGCTATTGTGATTTGAAGGACGCACACCACAGAGGCTCGTCTTAACCATGTAAGTTTTTAAAGAACATATCAGTTGGTGTCTTAGAACATACCTATATGAATTATTATATACCTATTTAGTATAAGTACTATTTAACTCGCAATGTATGTACGTAAGAATGTATGTATGTATATATGTGAAGTGGAATCTTGCTACTGAATTTCATAGCAAATATATTCAACTTGTGTTCAACCATGAAGCAAATACACCGGTTCAATTGATTGATCTGGACGTATGTACATACACGCTAAGTTTACATAACCAATAATTAAACTGCCAAACACCGCGAGGACACCGGTGACCGCAACCTATTGTTCTGTAATTGTGTCTATAATGCTTAGCTGCATAAAACCTTATTTTTAAAAAGTTTATGTTTATACATTGAAACTTAAATTATGTACAACCTTAACGTTATAGAGGTATATAAAGTAACGCATAAAACATAGTTACGCTTTTTAATCACTGAAATGTTTAGAAATGCACAGAAATAATGTAACATTCACTTTTCACTAGTTATGAGTTACTTACGAATGTAATAGTCATTTTTAGAAAATATTTACATAACATAACATAGCATAACATCACGCCTTTTATCCCCGAAGAGGTAGGCAGAGGTGTACATTATGCCACTGAACAATGTCACACCCACTTTTCACTATTTATGTTATGAGTCCCATGTAATAGGGGGTGAGCCTATTGCCATATATCGGACACGATTCCAGACTCCGTGCTACTACTGAGAAGTATATTGAGAATGTAATTGAAATTGTTGCTATATGTACATTGACGGGCTGTATCAATAGGAAAACTACAAACTAAAAAGCCTATAGTTTCATCTAAATATGGCTTCATGTCTTAAAGCTAATAAAATCGCAAAAAAACGAAGTCGTACGTGTACAAGGAATAAGCTTCAGTGAACCTGTGTTTTGTGAGGCGTGTAGTGGTAGCCCGGAGGTTTAAGGCACCCGCTTCTCATGTATAAGAGTGCGGGTTGGAAACTTACCAACGCAATGGCAAGTACTAATATGATCAAAGTCCGAAATTCAAAGAAACTGTACTTTCTAAGGTACGATTAGACACCATTGACAAACGGTAAAAGAAAAGCATCGTGATGATACCTGGAAATTTCTATCTTCATTGAGCAAGCCTGGTTGATGATTCATGCTCAAAATCTTATCCGTGTAAGAAGAGGTTTTTAGTCAGCAGTGGCAATTTATAGGCTCTTGGTGATGATGGTGATGAACCTGTATTAGGGTAGATTTACATCTGACGGACGATGCGTTGCGCATACCGCTACCGTAATTTCAGATCAGTAGCAGGTTAGTGTGTAGTTAAATTTCGTTCCAATTACTTACGATTATTCGGTATCGCATCGTTTTTAGGTTACTTATGCCGGAATACTGAAACGTTACTCAATTTTAAGTCGTGCTTAAATATCGTGCCATCTCTGTCATTTTACAAATAATTTGTAGAGACAGAACTATACTTAAGCACGACTTAAAATTGAGTAGCGTTTCAGTATTCGTGTATTTATCACTAGGGTATATTTATATAAAAGTATTATTTACTTATATTGGTAAAGTTTATTCTAGTAATAAATGTTTTAAATTATTTATGCATTTTTATTTTCCAACCTGCTAAGTTAATATAGAGCGGCTAATTACTTAACTTGCGCAGAAAATGTTTTACTTTAAATGAAGATAGGTTATTAATAAATGAACGCAGTAATAAAATTAGTCTTACGCTTGAAAAGCTCCTATAATATTTTCATCCGCAAGCGTATTTACTTTTAATATATATTTTTTTTAATTCCGTAAACGAGTTTGCACGCTCTGCATATTTCATATTTTTTAAACTTGTTTTTATTAATTAATATTATGGGTTGTTATAGTAATTACAAACCATAAATTGTATTAATTGTAACTTGTTCGTTTTGTATTTGTTTTATTATGATACCTAATAAAAGTTACGTTATGAGTTAATGTATTAGTATTTCCATTCATTTTATACATGAGAGCTTTTTTAATGTTACTTACATTTTACTGAATGCAAAAGCGGCATTACTAATAACCGAAAAACGCGATAAGGTCTGTGTCATTCCGATATATCCTGATATCCTCTCGTAGATAAGGAAAGTACGATGTTCTACGAACGTTTAAATCACCCAAATAAAAAACTCATAAAATAATATATTTGTAACAAACTTGGCCTAAAACAAACGCTTATAAACAACAGACACAGTCAACGATGCTGATTTCATCATGTTGAGGCAGGACCCTGAGGGTTCAAGGTACCAACACTCCGTAACCGACTCGTGGGTTTGGTGTCATAAAGATTCATTAATGATTGGTCAGACGCACTGGACACGTCATCTGAGCTTGTACTTTCTGGTATATATTCTTGATGATTACATTTAAACCATTCCTGTAAAAATAAAATAGTATTTAAGATGGATCAATTTCACAAAACTTAATGACATATAGTCCCGCATAGCGTATATAAAAATATAGGTGACTGCCTCGTTAGCCGAGTGATCGCAAGCGTGACTGCCGGACAAGAGGTCTCCGGTCCCGATTCCCAGGTCGGGCAAGGTATTACTGGGTTTAAAAAAAATCTCATTAGTACGTAGGATGGAATTGTGCCCGGTATATGGCAATAGGCTCACCACTAATGAAAAGTGGGTGTTACATTGTACAGTGCCATAATGAGCACCTCTGCCCACCCCTTCGGGGAGAAAAGGCGTGATGTTATGTTATACTGGGTGACTTGTTTATTAGGGCAGAATCTCGTATGGGATTATAGAACCAGGGCCGTTATAGACTACGCTGGGGCCCTTCGGTACACAGTAATTCAAGGCCCTATTGGAAAATGGAATGTTTCTTTTTCCATAGCAGTCGCACTTGCGACCACTTGGCCAACGAGACAGTCAATGGTATCTATTACATAACATAACATAACATAACATCACGTCTTTTATCCCCGAAGGGGTAGGCAGAGGTGCACATTACGGCACTTAATGCTACTGTACAAT